ACACACACACACACACACACACATAGAGACACACACAATTATCTATATAATATAAAATAAATATATATATTTGTATACACATACACATATATGCCTACAACTGGATTCATTTTTTTAATAATCACAACAGAAAAGAAATTGTTACTATATACAGGGAACTTTTTGCTTGAACCATTTGAAAATAAATTAATAGCTGGGCACAGTGGCACATGTCTCTAATCTCAGCAGCTCTGTAGGCTGAGGCAGAAGGATTGCAACTTGAAAGCCAGCCTCAGCAAAAGTGAGGTCCTATAGAAACTCAGTGAGACTCTATCTCTAAATAAAATATAAAATAGGGCTAGGGATGTGGCTCAGTGGTCAAGTCCCCTGAGTTCAATCCCCAGTGTTCAAAAAAAATGGGTAAATTAACACCATGTTCCCAAAGACCAGAAATCCAGAAATATTTTAGTGTATATTTTATTTAAAAAAAGGTTTTTTTACTGTACAATTATACTCAAAGTATTAAAATCAGGAATTAAGTATTGATATATTGGGACTTTCTAATCCTTATTCCTAATGGTATTTAATCAATGAGTTCCAAAGATATCCATTATATTCCATTAAAAACTTAGTAGAGAATCCAGAATCATGTTATAACTATTTGTCACATCTTTTTAGAAGACTCTAGGACACTTCTTCAATCTTCACTTACATGACCTTGACACTCTTTAAGAGCATAGACTTCATGTTTATAAAATGCCCCTCAATTTGAATTTATTAATCAGTTTCCTACTAATTAAATTCATCTTAAGAATTTCTGGAAGAAAGGTCACAGTATGACATTTTCTTCCCTTTCTAGGTGATAAACAATTGTATCTATTTCATTAGGAATGTTTATTTGATTAGTAGGTTCAGATATTTCTGGCAGAATTCTCCACTTTATTCCTCTCAATTTTGTTCTTTGGAAGTATGCTGTCGAAGGATTCTTTTAAATTCTTTAACTATCCCACATCAAATTTTCAAGCTGGTCATTTCTCTGAATCAATAAGGAATCAAGGATTCAATTGTGTCAGTGGGTTATAAGCCATTATTATTATTATATATTTGGGTGCTCAACTTGTCTCCTAATGACTATATTTTGTGCCTTTTTCCATGTCACCAATAATCCTCAAACAATTCCTTACTTTGGGAGGCAGCAACATACTCTAGGCTCATTTGTATGTTCCCTCCCCCTACTTTGCAAGTAGCCATTTCTCCAAAGAGTCTTATTTTCTTTATTTTAAAATCTGATTTGGAGTTAATAACAGTGCATTGGGTGTTTTTATTGCTTATGAGGATGTTACAAGATCCAGCACTTCTCAGGAAACAGAGGTAGAAAATATGTGCATTGAGAATACAGCAAATCTCTTGTGGAGAGAGAAAATGAAAAGGTAGAATTCTATTCAAAGAAGAAACAGACATTGGCCATTATCAGTAAAGGCAAATCATGGCTTGCTATAAGATTTGAGATCAACTTATCTTGTATACATAGATATGATAAATTGTGGTATAAAGGTGTATTAAGAATTATAATGCAAAAAATAATAATAATAAGAGAGCTCATGTAAAAATAAATAAATAAATAAGATTTGAGAAGTTCAGATGAAAATGACTCCATGAGCTAAGAAATGAAGAGCAAGAGACCCACAGAAAGGGTATCAAAGTTCTAGGAAAAAGTGCTCAAAAGGGTCATTTTCTCATCTCAATGGCAAATTCTGTCCCAGGAACTAAAAGCTCATGATTGTTGGTTGAGAGCTTG